CTACTTATTTGCAACATTTTTAATAATTTTGGAAAAAGTTCTTTGAGAATTTTCAAATTAATTTGTTTACAATTCAATTATACAAACAATTAGTTGTAAATTCTTCAATTAAATATACATTTTAAAAAAAACCCTTCAAATAATTTATAAAAACATTCGCAATTAAACTTTCTAAAAAAATTAAATTTACACAATTATTAGTTAAAAATATGAAAAATTCAGATTAGCAAAGATTTTCATTTGAAACCTTTTCAAAATTCAATTATTTCTACAAATTTACTCCAGAATGCTTTTATAATATTTAATTATTATCTAAAATTTTAACTGAAATTAATTTTTAAATTAATTTTTATTGGAAAATTCTACTGTAATTCAGATGTTTAAAACAAAAATTTAAATAATTTATTGAATAATTCAATGTTTCTTAAAATTCAATTCCCATAAAGAATTTTATTAATAAATATTTAAATAATTAAATTCTTTTGGATAATTTTATTAAAATAGTAGATATTGAAAAGCATTGCAATGAGGAAAAGTTTTGAAAATAATTGAAATTTTGACAAAAATTTTATTAAAATATTTGAAAATAATTGAATTTTGAACAACAATTCTTTTATTTATAAAGATAATAATTACGATTTTCTCGAGATTTTATTGTAAATTTTGAACATAATTGAATTTTATGATAATAATTTTATTACTTTTGAAAGTATAATTGAATAATTGAATGTTTCTTAAAATTTAATTCCCATAAAAAATTTTATTAATAAATTTTTAAATAATTAAATTCTTTTGAGGAATTTTATTAAAATTTTAAAGAATAATTACAATTAAATAAATTGTATTAAAAATAATTGAAATTCTGCAATGAGTTTTATTATTTATGAAAATAATTGAATACAATGAAGTTTATTAAAAAAAATTTTTGAAATTAATTGAATTTTAGAGAAGAATTTAATTATTTGTATAAAGATAATTGAAATTTTGACGAGAATTTTTTAAAAATTTTGAACATAATTGAATTTTTGCAAAGAATTTTATTATACTTTTGAAAATAATTGAATTCCTAAAATTATTTGTAATTTCTTTTTTTTTTTTTAAAAACTGACTTTTACGGACTTAAAGCAAATTTACCGACCTAGTTCGAGCAATGTGATTGGCTAATTAAAAAAATTATTTGAAGTTTCTGTCACGCATATATTGGAAATTTCTGTTATTTTTTTATTGGACAATCATAGTGGAAAATGACTCGTATTTAAATTATTTTTAACTTATCATCAGTGAAATTATTAAATTAAAAACATGGAATAAAAAATAGAGAAGAGAAAAAATACTCTCTAAATCTGAATTAGTGCGGATTCGTTTACCAATTTGAATAAGTAACATTTTTTAACTATTTTTTAGTAGTTTTTTACTAATTGATAGTAAAAAATTACTAATTCAATTAGTAGAAGGTATTTTTTACTATTTTAAATTAGTAAATTTTCTACTAATAATTAGTAAAAAAAACTACTAAAAACAGTTACTAATTCAATTGGTAAACGAATCCGCACTATTTCATTAGTATAGAAAACTACTAATTCAGATTTAGAGAGTACAAAAATAATGAATAGAAAATACTCTCTAAATTTGAATTAGTAAAAATGTTTACTAATTTGAATTAGTGACTGGCTTTTTGCTTTTGAATTAGTAAATTTTACTAATAAATAGTTATTTCTACTAATTTTTTAGTAAAATTTACTAATTGAAAAGCAAAAATTCAGTCACTATTTCTAAGTATAGCAAACATTTTTACTAATTCAAATTTAGAGAGTAGAAAAACAGAAATTTCTTTTTTGTAAAAAGTTTGTTAAAAATAAAAATTGGTTAAATTCATAACCGCATATATAGAACATATCGCTGGAAGTTAAAGATTTTCTCTTTCTCTCTCACATTGGGTTTGTATATACATATATATACAGTGTGTGGATCTCTCAACTCTTCTGCTGCCATCACTATACGTCTCACCTCCCTGGACGTCCCTATATATCTTGCCTTCTCTTCTCTCGTCACTCCCTCGTAATTAATCATTCCCTTCTCTCTCTCTCACTTTGACTGTCGTTCTCTCCTCCTCTGGGCGTCAAACGGAGGCAACATGGCCGCGAGGCCAAGACCTAATATAGCCCACCTTTGCGCAGACCATAGGCCTTCCAACTGACATGAGCCTCTCTATATCTCTCTTTCTCTCTTTCTCTCCATACACATACACTCTCTCTCTCTCTCTCTTGGCAATGTTTGCGAATAAATAATGCGTGAATGTGACCAAGACGTGTGATTTGTGCGGAGACTCGAATCTGGTGACACGAAGGTTACTTGACGAATGATCGCAGGAAAGAAGCTCATTCAAAGAGTAAAAGACTGATAGCCGCTTCCTTTGCCTTCAGCCGTGGCGAATGATCGATTCGCTTGAGACGTTTAGACGAACTAATGATCGTTCTAATCAAGCTGGAACAGTTTGTTACGAGATATATATATATATATATATATATATATATATATGAAATGGAGATTATTACCTTTTTATTAATGGTCCCGAGAGTTTTAACGTTAATACATTACGCTCACACGCATAAATTGTGGGAACTTTTTTTTTTCATTCTTTTTTAAATACTTTAATCGTTTTGAACTCTGATTAGAGTTTATTCAGATGAGAGTTTTAATATGGTAAACGATATTTTTATTTTATAGGGAAAGTTTTCAGTTTAGAGAAAGAGAAAAAAATTGTTCATATTCTTATCACGATTTGTTGTGTAAGAAAAGAAATTGGTGGGAATCTGGAAGAGAATTAGAAATTAGTTCAAGTTCATTTTTTTCATTACAGAGGCACACAAGAATAAATAAAGTTGTCTAATTAATAATTATTATTGAACTATAGACCTACAGCCGAAAAAAAGATATTTTGATTTGATGAGGATTCCTCAATTTTCCTCTTATAAATGATATCAAAAAGATATAGTCTCCACTATAGAGGATTTTCCTCTTATGTATTATTTGACAATTATGGTTATGAACAAATGAAAAAAGCAATTCTTATGCACTGAATTAAATATTTTTATAATAAAATAAACACTGCTAACTTAATAAGGATTGTCACAGGTCAGGAAAGTCAGAGAATTTAGGGAAACGTCAGGGAACGTGAAATATTTTTTTGAAAATTTTTAATTTCAATTCTGTTGAAATTATAGTTTTAGTAACAAAAATTTTAACACAATTTTTTTAAAGAATTTAACTATCTTAATAAAAATTAAAATTCTTTCCAGAAATTATATTATTTTCAAAAATTAAAAAAAAAAAATTTTTCAACACTTCAATTATCTTTCTAAATCAATAGCAAAATTCTTCAAGACAAAATTCAATTATTTTCCAAAATTTTAATAAAATTTATTGCAAAATTCAATTATTCTCATAAATAATCATCACAAGAATTCAATTATTTTCAAAAGTAATAAAATTCAATTACTTTCAAAAAATTTAATATAATTCATAGCGAAATTTCAATTATTTTCCAAAATTTATCTTAATTCGCAATGATTTTCAATATTTCAACTATTATAATAAAATTTTCCAAAAGAATTCAATTATTAAACAATAATTTTGATAAAGTTCTATACGAACATTCAATTATTTCCCAATAAAATAAAATTCAATTATTTTTAATACAATTTTAATCAAATTCCTCAAAAAAATTATTCTTTCAAATTTTATTATAAACTTTTCCGAAAGAATTTAATTATTAACCAAAAATTTTGATAAAACTCTACACGAGCATTCAATTATTTCTCAAAAAATTAAAGCATTTCATATGAATTTGATTATTTGAATTAAAATTTGCATACATTTTTTCGAAGAAATCAAATGTTTTAAAATTTGGCGTTAAATTCTTCGCAGTAATTCAATTATTTTCATAAATTGTAAAATTCCTTTCAGGGATTTACTTATTTACATAAATAATAAAATCAATCGTAGAAAGTCAATTATTTTCATAAATAACATAACATTCATGACATGAATTCAATTATTTTCTAAAGTAATAAAATTTATGACAAAATATCAATTATTTAAAAAAATTTTTTTTAATTCAATAAATTTGTATATCTATTATTTTCATAAAATTTCCCATGAGAATTTAATTATTTAAAAATTTGTTGATAGAATTAAGTATAAGAATTCAATTTTAAGAATCATTCTTTTATTCAATAAATTAATTGAATATTAAAAGCATTCTGGAATAAATTTATTGAAATAATTATTTTAAGAATAATCGATTTAAAATGAAAAATAACTGATATTTTAGTGATTTTCTAACTGATTTACAGTGGAATTTCACTGATTCAAATTGCGAGAATAGAGTCACTGATTCTCATTCAAATTTTATTCATCAATTTCACTGATTCAGATTTAGAGAGTTTAATAAGTCCATCCGGAAAATAATTTTTTATGATTTAAATAAATCATTTGCTTTGACATGTTTCTTCGATTTAAAATTAATTTTTTTCAAAGAAATGATACTTTTCAAATTAGAAAATAATTTCATATGATAGAATTTCATTAATTTAAAGAACAAATTTCTTAGATTCAAAGAATATTTGTTTAAATCAACGAAAATTTATTTAAATCAAAGAAATTTTTTTTTTAATCCAAAACCCTCTTTTTGATTCAAAGACAAATTTATTTTGAATGAAGCAAAACGAGTGTAAGAAACTGACTTCTTTAAATTAACAAAAACTTTTTTCTGAATATAATATTATTAATGGTAACATTAAATATCGGTAGCTTATTTAAGAAAATATTCAATTAGTGGTACCTTAATCAATGGAAAATTTAAATAGTAGAAATTTTAATCATTGATAACATAAAAATTAATTTGCAACGTTACAAATCAAAAATAAATAATCAAACATTTTTTTGCAGCAAAATAAATATTAATAATAATAGGTAATAATAATATTGACAATTAAGAATTCATTATAAAATTATAATTGCAATCACCTTTAATTTCTTAGATAAAAAAAATTACACATTGAATATTTCAAAGTTAACAATTTTAATCGAAAGAGTTTTTTTCTTCATTTCCTTCCTTCTTTTTGACTTGCATGTAACAATTCCAATTTCTCGTTCCATTCTGCAATGAAAAAAGAAGAATCATTCATATATATATATATGAAGTAAAAAGAAAAGAAAAGTTTTGTTTTCTTAAATCTAGCATAAAAAATAATAAATATATGAAGACGACGACTACGACGACAACGAATGAGTCGCGCGAAGAAAATGACCTCAGGTTGAATTGAAAATTTAAGTTTTTATTATTCTTACTTTTGCAAAGGCTTTTCTCACTTGGAAAATGATTCTGGGGAAAAAAAATTTTCTTCAAATGTATATATATATACGAATGATGATGGTAGTAGTATTTTTCGAGTTCTTATACTTATATATTTCTATTCTACAACATCATAGATATATATAAAGTTTCTTATCGCCTCGGGGTTGTAAGACTGTGGTTGCATAAAGCGGTGAGAGATTTTTTCTTCCTCCTGCTCTTAAGAGAGAGACAGAGAGGAAGAAAGACAGAAATAGAGATATGACAGAGGGCGGAGGGATAAGGGGAATGAAAAAGGGAATGAGTCGTTGACGGATTCATTAAAACGTTCAGATGGAATAGTGCCATGATTACGAGAAGGCTTGAAAATTAAAAAACTGTGCCACAGTCCTCGCCCTTTTCTTTCCGCGAATGTCTTATTCGCGCAACTAAAGGGCAAGGCTCACGAGACGATTAAAATATCAGTTTTTTTTTTAATTTTCATATGATTAATCTTTCTTTACTTATATAATTACGATTTTTCCATTTTTTCTGTTTATGCTTTGTTGAAATTGATTTTTTGCTTTATTAATACCTATTAATTAATAATAGTAAGATAAAAAAATAAGTATAGCATCACTTTTTTAAAATACAAAATGTCGGATCCAATATGGCGGAAAATGTTTTAAAACTGATTTTTCAAATTAATTTTGTACTATATATATTATTAAGAATGATAATAACAATAAATAATTACTAATGTAAATTTTATTAAACATTAATTAACTATATTAATCTTCGTATTCTTTTTTTCATTCTGTCCGGGCAGTTTAAAGTTAGTTTCTCTGTCTGGTTTCTTTTTTTTTTTTTTTTCTTGAAAAAAATATTGTTTGGCAAATCGTAAATATGTAGATATTTTTTCACGATTTATAATAAAGTAATATTATAAATTACAAAATTTTTTAAAAATTATGATTAACAAATAAAAAATATAATCATTTTGTTTGTTATATATGCTTTTTTCTGTAACAAGTTTCGTTTGACTAATCTAAATTATTATGCAAATTATTCTCCTTTTTATTTATAAAAAAATCCTAGAAAATTGTTAATTGTTAAAAAATTTTGATTAAGAAGAAAATATACCCATTTTATAAATGAAACTGAACATTTTTGAATTTTTAGAAAATAAAGGATAAAATTGTATTGAAAGAAATGTTCTGTTGAATTTATTTACGAATATCTGTAATATTGTAAAATTATTCAAAAACAATAATTTTTTAACTTCCTCAAAATTATTTCCATATTTTAATTTAAATTTTAGATAATAATAGATTATTATCTAAAATTTAAATTAAAATTCATTTTCAAATAAATTTTAATTAGAAAATTCTACGAGAATTAAATTATTTAAATACAAAAGTAAACTATGTTTTGAATAATTGAATGTTTATTAAAATTTTATTCTTATAAAGAATTTTATTAACAAATTTTTAAATAATTGAATATTATTTTTACGAATTTTAATAAAATTATTTAGAATTTTTACATTTTTCAAGGAATTCGATTAAAATTGTATTAAAAAGAATTGAAATTCTGCGATAAGTTTTATTATTTCTGAAAATAATTGATATTTGTAAAAAATTTGTAAATAATTAAATCCCTGTGAAATTTTTATTATTTTGTGCAAATAATTAAAGCTTTGCGAGAAAAATTTTATTACTTTTGAAAATAATTGAATTTTGAAGAAGAATTTTTTTATTTATAAAGATAATAATTGGGATTTTGTCGAGAATTTTTTGTAAATTTTGAACATAATTGAATTTTATGATAAGAATTTTATTACTTTTGAAAATAATTGAATTACTGCAATTATTTGTAACTTCTTCAAAATTCAATTTGTTTAGTGTTTTTAACACAAATTTTTCTATAAATCCATTATTTTTAATATTTGATTAAATATATATTGACAAACTTAACTCTTTTAAAATTGAATTAATTTTGAAATTTATTTAAGTAAAATTATTCAGTAAATAATTTATTTATTTTATGATAGTTGTTCAATAAGTTATTTAAAAAGAAATTTTAGTCAGAAATTGAAAAAATTGAACGTTTTGTATTAGAATTTGTGGTAATTTTATAGTTTATGAGTCAAACAAAAAAGACACAAAAATTCAGAATTTTCTTATGAATTCTAAAAGTTAAATTTTGTTCAGTATACTTTTAATAAAAATTCCTGACTCTTCCCCGAATTCCCTATGTCAGAATATATGATTATTATAATTATAATAATATTAAAACTTTATATTCCAATTCATATTTTATTTTTATAAAAAAAAATTTGAATTAAAAATTTTTACATTCTATTTTTCTTTTTAATTTGTAAATTTTATTGAAAATTGAGTGAAAAGTCAGTAGCGCAAAAAAGTGTTTAAATGCCTTCATTTATTTATTTAAATGATACATTAATATTAAATTCCGTCTTAAAAAATTGTTTTTACGGAAAAAATGAAGAAAAATTATTTTTTGAATCTATTTTTATTTTGTAATTTTTTTAACGGAGGAATTTCTAGTGCCTCAATATTATGTATTCCGCGTGTGTACGGCGATCGGTTCGAGTCCCTCGTGAGAGAAGGCCACTACATACTAAACGAGAATTACCATCTGCCTAATTAAAATTAATAGAAGACGATCTGCCAATTCAATGGCTCTGTGAAAAAATATTGCAACACGCGCGCAGTATTATATTTTCAGATAAATATATAGGTATCGATAGAAAATTTTATTTTTCCTTTACACACATTTAGTTCCATTTTTCCTCCGCACAATTATTAATTCTTAACAACTTTGTATACATTCAAAATTTCAAATATACATTTATTTCAAAATAATTTTTCTATTTTTAAAATTATTTTCCATCTTTTCTTCTTACAATTTTATTATTATTTACATTTGATTGAAATTATAATTTTTCTCCTTCAAAATTAGACCTTCGACGTTATTTTTAACTTATTTTAATCATTTCTATTTTTTTTTCTATTTAATTTATTTCTTTTATTATTTTTATTAAAATTCATTATTATAACAATTATAATTTTTAAACAACTCTCTATACATTTAAATTTATTTATATGGAAATAATTTTTCTATTTTGAAACTATTTTCAATTTTCTTTCAATTATTTCTTTTACTGATTGAAATTAACATTTTTTTCCTTAAAAATTAGTTCTTAGACGTTATTTTTTACTATTTTTATTGTTTACATTTCTTTTATCATTTTTATTATTTTTTAAGTGTTATTTATTACTTTTTTTTAAACAACTCTCTATACATTCAATTATACTTCTTTCCAAATACTTTTTTAATTTTCAAACCATTTTCAATTTTTTTCAATTATTTTTGTAGAGACTGGTAGTAAAAAATTGTTTCTTAAAAATTAGATCTTAGACTTTGTTTTTTTACTATTTTTATTCGTTTTATTTCTTTTATTTTTATTAAAATTCGATTTTATTAAAATTTTATCGAAAATTTTAAAAGTTAAATCGAATCGATTAAAAGTTTATCGAATAATTATATTTTTAATAAAACTATATTAAAATTTGGTAAAAAAACATTCAATTTGAAAAATAAAACGATCGTGTGATATTAACGAAGGGATATAAATGCGTACAAAACTTATATACACACACGAAAGAGTAAAACGTCACGAAAGGAAGTGGTTGCATTCTTTATTTAGTAACAGCTATATATGAGAGATGTTTCTTCGAACTTGATAACGGAAAGCAGGAGGGAAAGTTTTTTTTTTCTTTTCTTTTTTTGCAAGTGGGAAAAGGGACAAACAAAGATGAGGAATATCTTGAAGGGGGTGTTTGCCCCCCCCATCAGTAAATGTTGCGTGGGGTTGGGGTGGTGGCGAAGGAAAGAAACTGAGAAAAAGGAGATCCGTGATCGAGAGCAGCAATGAACAAGGAGAGATAGAGAAAAGAAACGAGAGAGGAGAATGAGAGATGATGGTTGGACTGGACCATTCAAAGTTCCCAGGAGGCGACAAAGGGCCAGCAACTAGCTGATCAAATTATCCAATTCATTTGGATTGGCGAGCGAGCGAATAAGTGCTCGCCGTTACCAAGAGGCCCACTCCAAGCTTCGAGTACTTCTCTCTCTCTCTCTCTCTCTCTCTCTCTCCTGCCCTTGCTGCATGAATTGTCTACTTCATCCAAATTTATGCACTTTTTTATGTACCCTCACTTATTGTATTTGTGTTTATAAACTTTGTAAATATTTCATTATTCTTATCAGTTTGGGAGATTTTCAATTTACTGTCAATATTTGAATTCGATTTGAATTTTTAGTGGCTTAAAATTTGGCTAAATTTTAATTAGGAACATTTTTATTTGGGGAAATTTGTATTTTAGAGAATTTTTTATTTATTTGAATTTTCCAGTTAAATAGATCAGAATAATTAGATTTTTTACAGAGACAAATTTTTATTTCCGATATTTTTTATTCGAAATAATTTCAAATTAATTCAATTATTACTTTTTAGAATTTTTAACTAAAATTTTTCTTTGAATCAATTATTTTTAATAATTTTCAAATCCATTTGTTTACCATTCATTTTTATATGAAATTTCGTTTATTCGAAAATTCTTCAATTATTATTTATATAGGTATTAGAAAATAAAATCATGACATAATTTTAAAAAAATTCAGTTAAACTTTTTAAAAAAAATTAATTCTGCAAAATTGTTACTTAAAAGTATGAAAAATTCAAAATTTTAAAGATTCTAAATTAAACCTTTTCAAAATTAAATTATTTCTAAAAATTT